TTTTTTCATGCTGACATAAATGTGAGAAAATTTTTTCCAGTTTGTATGTTTATGGAAATTCTTTTTTGCTTTGCTTTATCATCTCCATTACAAATGATATTCGATGCGAACGAAGTCGCGGGTACACGCTAGTACTTAAATCAAAATGAAAACAAAAATATAGAGCACAAAATGACAACAACTGTCAAATTGATTGATCTCAATCATTTCATATCATTCGGGCAAATATTTATCCGCAGCACAAGATTGACAAAAAAACTGATTAATTATTTTAAAACAATTTTCATGTTTAATTAATTATTTAGTTATTTTTTACCAGTTTTACGTGTATCAAGAGTTTACCAATTAAATATTTCATTAAACTCCAATATCGAACTCTATTGACCCAACTTTCCACCCGTTTAACCAAACAACAACTCCAAACACAACTCAACTTTATTAATTGCTAATCCCATAGAATCGATAACCTTTTGCACGTTTCCCTTTGTAACTTGCCCAACTATTTGAACTTACGTATCTGGTTTAATAATATATTCCATACAGCACTAACAGTCGCTAAATTACCATGGGCATTCCGTTTTGCCGGCTATGCGATTCCTCATAATTTAGATATACAGCAAAACGGTTTATAGCAGCGGAATGTTTACTGCAACTCCGCGTGTTTGTTGATTTTAGTTCTGCTTCTATCAGAAAGGCCAGGCGTGCAATTTGATGTAACTTGAAAGGGTAGTGCAGTCCTTGCGCTGATTTGTATTAAGGAAAATCTTACTTAAAATTATACCCGATGGTGCATCGTTGGAAACTTAGGAAATCGCAAGCAAATTTCGAACTGTCCAAATATTGGCGCCCCTGTTAATTTTACAGCGAGGTCGTTGATACTTTTTAAAGGTCTGCATATGCTCAATACACATGCCAAATTTGAACAATTTTGGGCAAACAATATAAATGCATTATTAAATAACATTATTATCATCAAAGAAATATATTAAAAGCGAATTATAACGAGAAAACTTTCCTTTTCAACTGGATGGTATGTGTCCATCAGCAGTTTACCATTAGCTGAAGAAGTACGATTCTTGAGTTGGGGGTATAAATTCATTATTAAATAACATTGTTATCATCAAAAAAATATATTAAAAGCGAATTATAACGACAAAACTTTCCTGGGCTGGGTCCTTTAGAACTGGATGGTATGTGTCCATCAGCAGTTTACCATTAGCTGAAGAAATATGTTTCTTCAGTTGGGGGGTATAAATTCCATATTAAATAACATTATTATCATCAAAATAATATATTAAAAAAGAATTATAACGAGAAAACTTTCCTGGAGTGGGTCTTTTTGAACTGGATGGTATGTGTCCATCAGCAGTTTACCATTAGCTGAAGAAGTATGATTCTTGAGTTGGGGGGTATAAATTCATTATTAAATAACATTATTATCATCAATAGATTATATTAAAAGCAAATTATAACGAGAAAACTTTCCTGGACCGGGTCCTTTAGAACTGGATGGTATGTGTCCATCAGCAGTTTACCATTAGCTGAAGAAATATGTTTCTTGAGTTAGGGGGTATAAATTTCATATTAAATAACATTATTATCATCAAAATAATATATTAAAAGAGAATTATAACGAGAAAACTTTCCTGGACTGGATCCTTTTGAACTGGATGGTATGTGTCCATCAGCAGTTTACCATTAGCTGAAGAAGTATGTTTCTTGATTTAGGGGGTATAAATTCCATATTAAATAACATTATTATCATCAAAATAATATATTAAAAGAGAATTATAACGAGAAAAATTTCCTCAACTGGATCCTTTTGAACTGGATGGTATGTGTCCATCAGCAGTTTACCATTAGCTGAAGCAGTATGTTTCTTGAGTTGGGGGGTAAAAATTCATTAATAAATAACATTATTATCATCAATAGATTATATTAAAAGCTAATTATAACGAGAAAACTTTCCTGGACTGGGTCCTTTAGAACTGGATGGTATGTGTCCATCAGCAGTTTACCATTAGCTGAAGAAATATGTTTCTTGAGTTAGGGGGTATAAATTTCATATTAAATAACATTATTATCATCAAAATAATATATTAAAAGAGAATTATAACGAGAAAACTTTCCTGGACTGGATCCTTTTGAACTGGATGGTATGTGTCCATCAGCAGTTTACCATTAGCTGAAGAAGTATGATTCTTGAGTTGGGGGGTATAAATTCATTATTAAATAACATTATTATCATCAATAGATTATATTAAAAGCTAATTATAACGAGAAAACTTTCCTGGACTGGGTCCTTTAGAACTGGATGGTATGTGTCCATCAGCAGTTTACCATTAGCTGAAGAAATATGTTTCTTGAGTTAGGGGGTATAAATTTCATATTAAATAACATTATTATCATCAAAATAATATATTAAAAGAGAATTATAACGAGAAAACTTTCCTGGACTGGATCCTTTTGAACTGGATGGTATGTGTCCATCAGCAGTTTACCATTAGCTGAAGAAGTATGATTCTTGAGTTGGGGGGTATAAATTCATTATTAAATAACATTATTATCATCAAAAGAATATATTAAAAGCAAATTATAATGAGAAAAGTTTCCTGGACTGGGTCCTTTAGAACTGGATGGTATGTGTCCATCAGCAGTTTACCATTAGCTGAAGAAGTATGATTCTTGAGTTGGGGGGTATAAATTAATTATTAAATAACATTATTATCATCAAAAGAATATATTAAAAGCAAATTATAACGACAAAACATTCCTGGGCTGGGTCCTTTAGAACTGGATGGTATGTGTCCATCAGCAGTTTACCATTAGCTGAAGAAATATGTTTCTTGAGTTGGGGGTATAAATTCCATATTAAATAACATTATTATCATCAAAATAATATATTAAAAAAGAATTATAATGAGAAAACTTTCCTGGAGTGGGTCTTTTTGAACTGGATGGTATGTGTCCATCAGCATTTTACCATTAGCTGAAGAAGTATGATTCTTGAGTTGGGGGGTATTAATTCATTATTAAATAACATTATTATCATCAATAGATTATGTTAAAAGCGAATTATAACGAGAAAACTTTCCTGGACTGGGTCCTTTAGAACTAGATGGTATGTGTCCATCAGCAGTTTACCATTAGCTGAAGAAATATGTTTCTTGATTTAGGGGGTATAAATTCCATATTAAATAACATTATTAGCATCAAAATAATATATTAAAAGAGAATTATAACGAGAAAAATTTCCTCGACTGGATCCTTTTGAACTGAATGGTATGTGTCCATCAGCAGTTTACCATTAGCTGAAGAAGTATGATTCTTGAGTTGGGGGGTATAAATTCATTAATAAATAACATTATTATCATCAATAGATTATATGAAAAGCTAATTATAACGAGAAAACTTTCCTGGACTGGGTCCTTTAGAACTGGATGGTATGTGTCCATCAGCAGTTTACCATTAGCTGAAGAAATATGTTTCTTGAGTTAGGGGGTATAAATTTCATATTAAATAACATTATTATCATCAAAATAATATATTAAAAGAGAATTATAACGAGAAAACTTTCCTGGACTGGATCCTTTTGAACTGGATGGTATGTGTCCATCAGCAGTTTACCATTAGCTGAAGAAGTATGATTCTTGAGTTGGGGGGTATAAATTCATTATTAAATAACATTATTATCATCAAAAGTATATATTTAAAACAAATTATAATGAGAAAAGTTTCCTGGACTGGGACCTTTTGAAATGGATGGAATGTGTCCATCAGCAGTTTACCATTAGCTGAAGAAGTGTGATTTTTGAGTGGGGGGTATAAATTCATTATTAAATAACATTATTATCATCAAAAAAATATATTAAAAGCGAATTATAACGAGAAAACTTTCCTGGACTGGGTATTTTTGAACTGGATGGTATGTGTCCATCAGCAGTTTACCATTAGCTGAAGAAGTACGATTCTTGAGTTGGGGGGTATATATTCATTATTAAATAACATTATTATCATCAAAAGAAAAAAAGTTTCCTTTTGAACTGGATGGTATGTGTCCATCAGCAGTTTATCATTAGCTGAAGAACTATGATTCTTTAGTTGGGTGGGTATAAATTAAGACTTAACCAACGCTTATTCAAGATCATGTTTCTGTCAGTTTTACATATGTTTCAACATTTTACATTGTTAAAAAATGTTCGAGTTAGGTATAAATTAGTATAATAGAAAAATTATGAGATATGAAAGTAGTTTCGAAAAAATGTAACAATAATATACCGGATATTCCATTTAAAATAACAAAGATGCTACCACATTTAGTATGAAGCATCAACACTGTAACGGTGAAAATAATTTATACAGATGGAGCATGTGCCTTTATGCAAAAATCCATAAGTTTTCAAATAAATCCTATCACCGGTTCTCCATAAACCTCTAACGTACCATGGCTGTAAATCACCTTGTATATTAATTACTGGGAATCATTTAAGACAATGTCAGTCTAAGATTATCTTTTACTTCCTTTTAGTACAGCGTTTTGATTAATATAATATCGTTCATTATTAAGTAAAGAAATTGAAAACATATTCTACCGTGGTACAAAGAAAACAAGGTATGATCGATAGCGGCTCCAATTTCGTTCAGTTTGCGCATTTCACCTGTGATGTCCATATGCCATACAAAAAATATTCATATTGTTCGATTGCCACTAATAAAAAAAGACCTAAAATAGGGAAGAATTAGGACATAACTCTAAAAGTTATGTCAAATCATCGAGCTTGACATTTGAAAATTTATTTCCACATATATTGTGTGTCATCTGTTTGACAATTTGAAATTGGCGCGCGGAGCTTGCCGACCAATGGTGCCGTTTATCACCTGTGACGTAGTGACCAACCTGCGCAACATCATACCTTGTTTTCTTTGTATCATGATATTATACATATTTATACCTGTATTTTTTTGGATGTTTGTCATAGTTTTTCTTTCCTTTCTTTCAGCGATCCTGAAATCTCTATGCAAGGAATTCCTCAATTTCAACGTCTCCTCAATCCTCTACCTGATGAACTACGAGCAGTACGGCCGTAGTACTGCTTCTGCGCAGTACTTTCTCCAACTGGCCGGATACCTTGGCATTCCTGTCATCGCCTGGAACGCGGACAACTCCGGTCTGGAACGCAGGGCTTCCCAGTCTTCTTTGCAGTTGCAGCTGGCGCCATCTTTGGAGCACCAGACCGCGGCCATGTTGAGCATTCTCGAACGGTATGTCCGTTTATTTAAATCTAAAGAAATAAAACAAGATTGCGTTAGTTATACCACTTATAACTCAACGACTGGAGCAATTTTAATAATCTGTGGTTTACAGGGTTCTGTAACTATAGCTCAAATTGCTGTACATCAGAAATTGGACATAATATTCCATAATTTTTTTAATTAAATACAACTTTCACAAATGCTGTTTTTAACAGCCACGTATAATGTGGAAAGAATGTTTTAGAAATATACTGAAATACAATCTTTGTATATAAAAAACACACAAAAAATGTGGAAAAACTGAACGCAATTTTACAAAAGTAATCGGTTTGGAAATTTAATTAAAAATATCTTTTGTAAAAAAATAATTACAGCATTAGTTAAGTAATGTTGTTTCTTTCGTAAAGTATGTTTTTGATTAGAGATGGCTAAATAAATATTAATATTAAAAATACACTTTGAAAAAATAGAAGAAAACTGAAATTAAAAAAAGCTTATATTTTGCTCTAATAGATGTTAAAACTTTATTAAATAATATTTTTTAACCATAACTTATATTTTTAAAAATAATTTGTTTCAAAAATGTACACATTTTATAAAATTATATAGCAAGTTGGGAAAATACATAAATTACAGGGTGTTTCAATTAATTTGAATAAGAATTTACTGCAATTTTAACGTATATTCTCCTATAACTTTAGCTTTTCCAGATATTATTACAAGAATTCTTTATCCATTACGCCAATTGAAATATTATTTTACCGAACTTAAAAGGCACCCTATATAAACTCACTCTATCGGTAGTCTGTTCAGTAAAAGAATACCGGATGATTCTAAAAAAAATACCGAGGGTACTATTTAAAAATCAAAAGTTGTAGTCATTTCCGGTGAAACAGGAAGTGACCGAAAATAATTGAATACGTCAATCAATCCTGATTTATATCATATACTAACGTACCAAACCTCGTTTATTTATGTGAAAATATAAAAAAGTTATAGGGGGTAAGCCACTTTTGAGAACCAGTAGATTTTACATTTACACCCAAAATCTACAATTTTATTTTTTATTATGCCTCAAGCAAATCATCCAAAATAAATCTATCCCATTTCGCTAAATCATCTGCAAATCGAGGGCACCTTTTATAAAACAAATTGCCTCACCTAAACACCCCTATTTCCCGCAAAAAAATCCACCCCTAAAAACGAAATCCTGCCATTTATCTCCATCTCCATAACCCTCCCATAATGAGATTTGTCCGAAATCTCCCTTTCACTTGACCTGTCCGGATGACCGTGACTCCAAAACCCCAAAACGCTGTCGGTCCTGTGTGCCGAGGTTAGCCCTCAAACTGACCCTTTGCCTAAACTTTAAACATGTGTTCATTAAACGGGAGGTGTCTGAGATTTGCTGTGTGCACGACACAATGATATAAAGTACGTCTACTTTCCAATCTTTCGAAAATATAGAATCACTTTTCTTCGCTTTTTTTAAATAGTACACCCTGTATATTATTTTTTTCAATAGATAGAGAATTAAAAAATGAAAATTTTTTGTTTTTAAAGTATTTCAAAATTTTTAACGTTGTCGCACATATTCGCGATTTTGTTACATACCGTGCTGGCAACTCATACTTTAGGGTCGGTATTTACATGTGTAGAAGTAAATCGCATACGGACCTTATTAAGATGGAGTGAGAGAAAGGGGACCGTGTGCCGTTGCGGCGTTGCCACATTTCTCCGGTACGCCTTTCTCTATCAAGTAAAGTAAAATCACGATCATAAACCGCTTATTTTTAAAAGACTATTTTTTAGAATAGATAACTAGATAAAATCATTATATATATTTTTGAGCATCTGAAAGGGAATTATTAGGATATCGTTAAGGTGTCCATTTTTTATAACGAAAAAATGTCAGTAATCGCGATAATATAAAAACTTAACTTCAACTCAAACCCTCAACTTCGACCCAAAACTAACCTTTGCCAACGCTTAGTATGACTCTTATATAGTAGACTGATATTGAGACAAGATACAGATTATTAGAAACTTTTTTAGTGAAATAAATGGATTGGTATGGACAGTATCATCTTTTTTCTGTCATTTTCTGTTACTGCCCAAAATGCATAACACATTTTAGCATTTCAGACATCAAAATACAAAAGTTTTTATAGATTTTCGTTATTCTATACAAAATACGAAATTATTTCTAGAAACGCTTGATATTGGCAAAACGAAATATATATTTCTCGTCTGGAGAACTTATATCGACCACTTAAATTTTCGGCAAAATTTTATATCCGGGGATTCCTAACAGCGACAACGCCAAGCATAATAATTCGTTTAGACCAGATCGAGTTTATATATCAAGCGATAAAATGCAAAGATTTCAGCCCCTCGTTTGATGCCACATTCGGTCTGTGTTGATCCCGTCTTATAAATCTCTGAATTTTCTCGACCTTTTGTTTTACGTCTAGTCGCAAAATCAAAGTTCGATAATAATGAAGGATTATCAAGCCTCAGAGTTCAATTTATACACAACCAAACTTATATTTCTGACTAAACTTTTGGCAAGGAAAAAAAATGGTATACAACTTTAAAATACATTAATTTAGAAAATGTTCTTTTTTCGGATGAGACCAGAATTGGCCTAAGATCAGATGACCATCGAATTCGGGTTCTCAGAGCTCCAGGCGAGTGTCCTGGCTGCCAAATCTGTACCCAGATATCAAGGAGGAACTGTAATGTTCTGTGGAGGTATTATCTTCTTCTTCTTCCTGTGCCTTGTGCTTAGCCGCACGTTGGCGATTGTCTGTACTCTTCATGCAATCTGTAGAGTGCCGTTTTCGGCTCTTCGAAATATGGTGGCTGCGTCGCTGATGTTACACCAATTCCGTATGTTTCTTAGCCAGGAATGTTGTTTTCTTCCTGGGCCTCGCCGTCCCTCTATTTTGCCTTGTAGAATCAGCTTAGGAATGTAATATTTGTCTCCTCTAAGGATATGGCCGAGGTATGAGACTTTCCTTTCTTTAACTATATTAAGCATTTCTCGTTCATAGCCTGCAGTTCTTAAAACTTCTTCGTTGGTGGCATGTGCGGTCCATGGCACACGTAAGAGTCTCCGGAGAGTCCACATTTCGAAAGCCTCGATGCGGTTCAGGGTTCTAGCCTTGAGTGACCAGGTTTCTGCGCCGTATAGTAAGATGGGCCATATGTAGCATTTTACTACCCGTAGTCTAAGTGTTAGCGGGAGACTGCGTGCTAATAGGAAGTTTTTAAGTTTAAAAAATGTTGACATTGCATAATTCGTTCTAAGTTTAACTTCCTCATCGCAGTCCCATCGTTCATTGATCATGGCACCCAGATATTTAAATCGTGGAACTCGCTCTATAATAATTCCATCCACGGTCAATGCGGTGTTGATTGCAGGCGTCCTATTACCATAAGTTTGGTCTTGGCAGCGTTGATTTTAAGACCGAAACGATTTCCCATGTCCCCTATATTATTTATTATTTGCTCGAGATCTTCTAAAGTTGGTGCTAGTATTGCCGTATTATGCTGGAGGTATTATGCTGGGAGCAAAAATTCCATTGTTACCACTTCAACTAACTTTAATGGGTCGGAGGTATGTTGATTTAGTGCTAGAGATTCCAGTCGGTAAGCTTTGGAGAGTTGCAATTGGGGATAATTTTAACATGCACGATAACGCACCTCCCCATACCAGCAGAGTGGCTAGAGAATCTCTTGAAATGGAAGGTGTCATAGTTTTGGACTGGCCACCAGATCTAAACCCCATCTTTTATAAAATCCAAAATTAGAGGGTTTAGTAAAACATACTCACCCCACATCTCGTTCAAATCGGAATAACAGTTCTTAAAATATCTTAAAAATGTGTTGATTTTTTTTTAAATTTGATGCACTCTAACGGACAAATAAAGCAATTTTTATAGAGGTAAATGGTGTCCAGTGATAGTGATGGGCAAAACTGTTATTTTTAGATAACAGTTGAAACTGTTATAGTTATTTATAAAAAAACAGCTTAAAATAATAGCTTAAAAATAACAGGTTTCTTTATTTTATTGCTAAATATCTGAAGGAGTATGAGGCGGTCACCGCCAGGCGTATTAACGCAGTTGCAAGTTGCAACAATGACATGCTGGGTGGTAGTATTTCCAGGGTGTCAAAACATTTCTAAATATCGATTGTTATCTAAAATACCTCTCTAAAAACGGTGGTTGTTTACAAATAAGCGCTGTTTACAAATTGCGATATAAAAAAGCCAAAATTCCGCCACTCGTCTATACGTATACATTCCGATCTACCTACGCCTTACCCCTCGATCGGCGTAGATCCTGAATTGCGTAGCAGTGTACAGGGTGCATCTCACTCGACGGGCGAGAAGATCTTAGATATAATTTTACCATTTGCGGTCAAAAATAGCAATATAATAAAATGTGTAGTATATTCTTCATAAGTAAACCAACTACACACTAGAGTTCGAATTAATTTTACACTTAAACTAGCGTGTACCCGCGACTTCGTTCGCGTCGAATTAATAATTTGTAATGGTGATGATAAAGCAAAGCAAGAATTTCTATTAACATACAAACTGGATAAAATTTTCTCACATTTGCCAAAAATAAGCTTTAAACGTCGAGCAGTTTAAGCAGAATCGTGGTTAATCAATTACTCAACTTTTTGGAACACCCTGTATAATTTTTTAAAAAATTTCAAAATATGTAAAAAAACAAAATAAATTATGCGTGTCCAAGCGTTTTCCCGAAAGGCTCACCGGTTTTTAAATGAAAAATATTTTAATATTTGAGGGGCGTTTTCACCCTCTTGGAATTTGAGATTCGAGAAACCCCTCCTTATCGAACCTCAACCCGACAGTCAATCCGTTTGCCAAAAATCAGCTTTAAACGTCAAGCAGTTTAAGCAGAATCGTGATTACTCAATGGTCATATTTTATGAAACACCCTGTATATATTTTTAAAAAATCTTAAAATATGTAAAACAACGAAATAAAATATACGTGTTTAAGAATTTTTCCGAAAAACTCACCGGTTTTTAAATAAAAAATATTCTAATATTTGAGGGTGGTTTCACCCCCTTATAATTCGAGTTTCGAAAATTCCCTTCTTATCGAACCTCTACACCCTAAAGTCAATCCGTTTTCCAAAAATCAGCTTTTTACGTCAAGGGCTTTAAGCAGGATCGTGATTAATCAATGACCAGATTTTTCAAAACAACCTGTATACATTTTTAAAAAATCTTAAAATATTATTCTGAAAATTTTTCAGAATAAATAAATACCTAAATATTGAAACTTAATAACGTACTGAAACATACAGCGCCATAATATCTCGACCTCCGCCCGTTATGCTCGTAACAGGTTGAAAAACAATGTATTTAAAACAACTGATGCGTTATTCTCCAACCTGTTTCGAACCTCTATCGACAATCGACCGATGCAGCAGCGTTCCTTTCCCACTCCGATTATCTCGACTGCCGCCCTGTGATGCTCGTAACAGGTTGAAAAACAACGTATCTAAAATGAGTGCTTCTCCAACCCGTTGCGAGCCTCCATCGACAATCGACCGATGCAGCAGCGTTCTTTTCCCACTCCTGTTATCTCGCCCGCCAGGCGTTATGCCCGCAACTGTTTCAAAAAACCTGCTTTTTTATATCCTATTATTTTTAAGCTGTTGTAAGCCCAATACGACTGTCGACGGCATCGACCGAAGCAGCTACGTTCGCCGTAGCGCATTCCCCACTCCGTTGTCTCGCCGCCTGTATCGATGGTTGACAAAATAACATGTTTTCCATCCATACTAGTCGTTTTTTGGAATTGCTTCGAGCAGCATAGAATTTCGTGGCGGTGCAGAGCGCCGACTTCGTTTTTCATTTCACGAACGGGCGACCTCTACGTGTCGTTATTTTATATCTGTTATTTTTTAGAAGTAGTAACGGTTGCGTTATGTTATTTCTAAATAATTGTTATAAAATAACAGATAGTTAAATAACAACCCATCACTATCCAATGAACCTATTCTGATTCCAAAAATACGTAGTAGTTCTATGTCCACGGAATATTAAGACACCCTGTATAAATAATTGTATAATACAAATTTATTGTTTTTTTTTCAGGTATAAGTGGCACCAATTTTCTGTAGTAACCAGCTTGATAGCAGGACATGATGATTTTATTCAAGCTGTTAGAGAACGCGTGTCTTCCATGCAGGTACACTTCTCATCTTTTAAAATAAAATTTCCCCAGTGTATAATATATTTTTTAATTTTCCTTAAAAGGTTTTAGAATTATTACTAAAAAAATAATATTCTTGAAACTATAAATTGTGGTTTTACTCTTTTGGGAATATCTGTACTACTAAAAACAAAATTTAAATAAAAAAGTATATACAGAGAAGACCAGGCTACTAGTAACATAGCAAGTTGCCGGACGAATTTACGTTTACCCGTTTTGCGTTCGTACTCGAAAGTCACTGCCGGCTAGTCGGCTGGTCAGGCAGTACGCAGTTGCAGTTGTGCTTGGACGGGTCGGTCGTGACAGACTAGGAATATGACGCGAGGAGTGCCGTGTATTTATTATTTTCATTTTAAGCGTTTACCTTCACTTAAGGTAACATTTAAAATAAAAATACTTAAATATTTATTATTTGAGTGTGTTTACAAGCCAAAACTAAAAATAAATAAATTCTCTGAACCCAAAAAAAACTATAATATTACTCTAAATAAAAAAAAAGTTATAACAAGTGTTCAAAAAGACCACCTGCTTGTGCTAAAGAGAAGCCTAGGCGGTCGTAAAATCCCCGTCTGACATTGGCTAACATATTAGGGCTAATAGTTTGGAAAGCCTCTCGTATTTTTACTTGAAGCTCATCCAGATTATTAGCCCTATTATTATGACCATACACTTTCGATTTTACATAACCCCACAAAAAGAAATCATTGGGAGAAAGATCTGGTGATCTAGCGGGCCACAAAATAGTTCCATATCCACTAATTAAACGGTTGGGAAAAGTATTGTTCAAATATTCTTGAACAATACGGGTATTGTGCAGGGCAACCACCTCAGCAATTTGATTACTTGAAAACGTGGGATTTTGATCCGCGGTAGCACAAACGAATACTTGCTTTAACTCCCGTTCTTCATTAATCAACACATCAGGCTTTTTGTGTTTTTGTGGGGACACGCACCCATGTGTTAATTTAATAACTCTTGATATAGTAGATAAAGATGGAATTGGCCTGTTTACAAAAGTTTGTGAAAAAATTGTTTGTATATCCCGATAAGACCTATTTTGGAAATACCATTTTACAATTTTTTTCTCAAACTTCAAAAACATCCATTTAAATTAACAGCAATATATTTTACACGTCGAACTGTCGCGAGAATCAACGTATTCGTTTTGGCTATTAAAACACCGCAGATCTTTATTGGCTACTTGCCCACTAACTTTATTGGCTACTTGCATTTTTGTTGAATTTTTATTGATGGACGCGTCGTCGCTTTTTTATTAAAAACATCGAGAAAATATCGTTTCACCTCTCTGGTCTGGATACCCAGAGTGAACGGACTTAAATACTGTGCAAATTTTCAGGGCTATTTTTTTCGATAAAAAAATCAAATTTTCTCTTTTTTGGTTTTGAAATATAGTACCCCTAAATGTTTACTTATTTAAGACTCACCCTGTACATTCTCCTAAAGAAATTACCTAAGATTTACTAGTTACCATGGCATAAAAAAAATTTCGATAATTAATTAGTGTATTAATAAAACATTTGAGGAACAGTTGAAAGATAAACATAAGATTACAATGCATAATGTGAAACAATGAAAACAAATTTTCTTTTTCATATATCAATGCGACAGAGATAGTAGCCAGCTGATTAAAAGAAAAATTGCAACTCATTTATATTATACATAAACGTTCTCTTTATCACATGAGCTCAACAAACTGTTTCCATACACTTGATTTTGATTTTCGGGTGTTATCTGGTTTTATATTTTCAATTTCTTCTTTAATGACTTGTTGGTTTACTTTTTCAAATCGCGACATTTCGCTATACACTTCTTACTCTACGTACAGACGTTTTAAAACTAGTAATAGCTTAATGACAGAATCGCAAACAAAAACTGTAAATATTTCAAAATACTTTTTTCTTTTGAGAACCACTTAAAATGTCGTTTCTTGGGTTTGGAAATATACTACCCTAAAATATTGCACTTATTGTCACTCAAATTGTACATTTCCTAAAAAATTACCTAAGATGGATCTTTGTATATGAAATAATTAATTACAGAAAAAAAACATTAGGAATAAAATGCGAGGGGTGTCTCACTCTGGTAAAAAAATGTACACAAACTGCCAAAAATATCCTTCCACTGCTAAGCGGCTACCAATGACTATGAAGAAGACTGCAACGTCTAATTTATTATGTAATTACGTAGGCGACTGCCATAAGACTGCCAATGACTGCCAGCGACTGCCAAGAAAATGTACATGTAATTCCAATAGTGAGACACCCCTCGATTAAATGTATAGAGAAAATTTGATATTATGTGAGGAGGTTGTTAATTTTGTCTTATTTTTTATACAGGGTTGTTCACCACATACGACACGGAGTATTGTAGCTAAACGATGAGATTTTTACAAATTGTAAGTTTGGGGTTCGTTGAAGACTATTAGAGCTACAATTTAAAAATATTTTTACAAGATACAGAGTGTCCCAAATAAATAAAAAATATCAAAGTTGTATTTTTTTAAATGGAACACCCTGTATATTATTACATTTTTAGTTTCTACGATTAAAATAAAGGTAAATTTGATTAAGGTTTATTATACTTAAACTTTACCGTTTTTGAAATATTTTCAATTTTGTGAAATTGTAGTCAAAATTTTAAAGCTTCATTTCTCCAAGGGTATCAATGTTTTTAATACTAAATATTTAATGAAGTTTATTTATTGATCAGTTATTGTGTTGCAATAATAAAAATAATAGTACCTTATACACAGTGTCTAAAAATTTATTTTAAATAATTATTAGCTTCAAACGGCAATAACTTCTTTAATTTAAATGGAATGCCCTATATATTTTAGGAGAATCAGATGCACAATTAAATTGTCTATCAAATTGTATTATACCATTTTTTACCTATCCCTTCAAGTTTTCGTAGAAAATGCATTTTCTTCTAAATTAGACCTCATTTATCAATATATCTATGGAATATTGACATTTTAGATTGTTTTTAAAGCAACAAATGTACAAAATGTACAGACTAGTAATATTATCGTTTTTAGCAAAACGATAATATTACTAGCCCATTTGTATGCAAAAAGAAAACTATTTAAATCTTTATAAAAGGGTATACCATTAATTAAATATAACACCATTATTTCCGCCCATATACTAATTAATGACATACTTAATTGTGTTCGTTAATAAATTATTATAAATAAATGTGGATTTTTGAGTCAGAAATCAATATAATAATAAGTTATCAAATTAAAGTCTCTGTTGTTATAAATAAGCATTTATTAAAAAATGAAATATCATTTTTAAGGTGTTACTTTTTATCACACTGTCTAATGCCCATACAAAATTCAGTTTTTTAGTATTTGGAGCAATTATTATCAATCAACGCAAACAGTCAGTTAATGTAGTTTGAATACTGGAATCATATTAAATGGTCCCCTTTAACAAATATTTAAACAGTTTTTTTTTATTTTTTTAATGAAATAAACAAATTATATCGACAATATTAGTATCTGTACTCTTTAAAAATTTGGTACATCTTTAAAAATAATCTAATAAAATGTCAATAGTCCATGGGTATATTGATAAATAAGTTCTAAATTACAAGAAAATGCATTTTCTGCGGAAAGTTAAAGAGATAGGTAAAAAATGGTATAATATAATTTGATAGACAATTAAATTGTGCATCTGATTCTCGTAAAATATACAGGGTGTTCCATTTAAATTAAACAAGTTATTGCCGTTTGAAGCTAATAATTATATAAAATAAATATTTAGACACTCTGTATAAGGTAATATTATTTTTATTATTGCAACACAATAACTGATCAGTAAATAAACTTCAGTAAATATTTAGTATTAAAAACTTTGATACCCTTGGAGAAATGAAGCCTTAAAATTTTTACTGTAATTTCACAAAATTGAAAATATTTCAAAAACGGTAAGGTTTAAGTATAATAAATCTTAATCAAATTTTCCTTTATTTTAATCGTAGGAACTAAAAATGTAATAATATACAGGGTGTTCCATTTAAAAAAATACAACTTTGATATTTTTTACTTATTTGGGACACTCTGTATCTTGTAAAATTATTTTTAAATTGTACCTCTAATAGTCCTTCATCGAACCCAAAACTTACAATTTGTAAAAATCTCATTGTTTAGCTACAATACTCCGTGTCGTATGTGGTGAACAACCCTGTATAAATTTCTGTTTTCAATATAATTTTTTGAAATTGCTCTATCAAATATTCCGTTTACTTCTTATTTTTTTCTATGATTAATTTATTCGGCACTCGACGTTTCTCTTTTCAGGATCGTTTCAAGTTCACCATCCTCAACGCCGTCCTGGTAGCCAACAGAGGCGATTTAGCTGCTTTGGTGGACTCCGAGGCTAGGGTGATGCTACTCTACTGCACCAGGGAGGAAGCCATTGATATCCTCACCGCAGCGGGTGATCTGCACCTCACCGGGGAGAACTATGTGTGGGTGGTGACTCAAAGCGTCATCGAAAGTGCCTTCCAAGCGCCATATCAGTTCCCTGTCGGAATGTTAGGTGAGTTTGGTGTTTTTGGAGGCTTTGAAAATATGTTTTTGAGGCTTCTTTGGCAGGTTGTGTGTGTTTGTGATATATACGAGGCATGTTTTTTAAGTAAGTACCGTTTTGGAATTAAAAAAAAAAACGTGCAAAGATATCGCAATAATTTTATTTTTACATGAAAGCCTGTACCTTAATCTACTTTTCTACATAATTTCCGTGAATATTGAGGCACTTGTCATAACGTGGCACCAGTTTTTCAATACCCTCCTCATAAAATTCTGCCGCCTGACTGGTTAACCACTGTATCACAACTGTTTTGACTTCGTTATCGTCTTGAAGACGCTGACCGCCCAGGTATTTCTTCAAGTACAGGAATAAATGGTAGTCACTGGGCGCCAGATCAGGGCTGTATGGAGGATGATCTAGAGTTTCCCATTTAAAATATTTGATGAGATCTTTGGTCCGATTAGCCACATGTAGACGGGCGTTGTCATGCAGCAAAACAATACCCTTACTCAACTTGCCACGTCTTTTGTTTTGGATTGCACGGCGCAGATTGTTCAATGTCTCACAATAAGATGCTGCATTGATTGTCTCATTACGAGGCAGAAACTCCACTAGCAATACTCCTTTTCTGTCCCAAAAAACTGTGCACATGATTTTCCGGGCAGAAATTGTTTGCTTAAACTTCACTGTTTTGGGTGATGATGAATGTCGCCATTCCATGGACTGTTGTTTCGATTCTGGTGTGACGTAGGCCACCCATGTTTCGTCACCAGTAACAATTTTGCCTAAAAAATCTTCACCTTCATTGTGGTACTGCTCAAGGAAAGTCACTGCCTAAACTTTGGGTTTGGTGCAAATCCGTCAACATTTTCGGAACCCAACGTGAACACAATTTCCGGTAATTCAAGTTCTCGGTCACAATGCGATACAAAACACTACGAGAACATTGAGGAAAGTAGTCGCACAATGATGAAATTGTAAAGCGTCTGTTTTCTTTCACCTTTTCGTCCACTTTCTGCACCAAATCTTCATTAACGACCGAAGGACGCCCACTCCGTTCTTCATCATGCACATTTGTGCGGCCATCTTTAAATGCTCTCACCCATTTCCTTACCATTCCATCACTCATAATGTTTTGTCCGTAAACTTCACAGATCTCACGATGAATATCGATCGGTTTTACGCCTTTAGCACTAAGAAATCGTATGACAGCCCGTACTTCACAATCGGCGGGGCTCACGATTGTCGGAGGCATCTTAAACACTCAATAAACAACGTATACAATGAAGAATCAGACTGTACTGGCGTCTGTGCATAGACAAGAGATGTAGGTAACCAGCGCGCATGCGCGGAACGCCGCATGCGCGATGAGCATGTGCTAAATTGATGTTTTCAGCTTGTTTGTTATTTTTAATTTAGTCATTATTGTATTTTAGTATATTGTTAGACTAAAATTAGGCTAATATTTTTTTAAATATCTTGTAATTAATAAAATATTTTGTTTATTTGTATTTTTACTAATAGCCTAAGATCCGGTTGCAGGATTATTACGACCATTGTTTATGCATATTTATGAATAGGAGAAAACACTTTTGATAGGGTGTGATAATTATGTTTAACTTTTGTCAAAAAGTTGCCGCAATTATGTTTAGTTAATAATAATAATAACTGATATTGGAGACGACATTACGATCATAAAATTTTTTGATCATTTATACGTCAAATTAAAGCTATTTTTATTCTGTGCATAATGTTATAAGGGTGCCTATCAAAAAGTTGCCGCAAATAGAGGTTGCCACGGTTCAAAGTTTTTCCTATGGGTTCAGCAACCCTGCCTCTGTAGCTCCTATAATAAAAAGCTTAGGAATTTTGTATAAGTGCCAACCTAAACTATATATTAAGATGTATTCCAGGAAAATATTTTAACTTCTATAGGGTGGCTCAAAAAACGTGTTTGTGATATGTTTTTTCTTCGTTTTTTTTTGAGCCATCTTGTAGAAGTTAAAATATTTTCCCGAAATACATCCTAGTATATATTTTAGTTTGGCACTTATACAAAATTCCTAAGTTTTTTTTATTATAGGAGCTATACAGATGCCCGACGCACTGTTGCCGCGTCTGTACGAAAAACTTTGAACCGTGGCAACCCCTATTTACAGCAACTTTTTGACAGACACACTTATAATATCATGCACAGAATAAAAATAGCTTAAACATAGTTGCGGCAACTTTATGATTAGCACCCTGTCAAAAATGTGACAGATAACATTTTAAAGCATCAGTTTTTAATACGAAATTTTTATTTATTTTTCATGTTATTTAATCATCAAATTATGCTTTATCATCCATCATTTAAATAACATTCCCAAGGCCTGGACTGCGCCGTTTTCGTGAGAAATAACTGTATGTGTATGGCTATCTTTATGTGTCTCTTTGGGGTTTTACGGTTCTCATATACTACAGTGTTATATTGTCCATCCTAGTTTTATCACTCATTTGCTGGTTAACCTGTTCGTTTTATTTTGTGAGGAATTTAAGTTTGCCATCGATCGTGTCAGTTATCTGGAACTTTTGTTTTGTCCGCTCTATCCTCTTGTGTTGTTTTTTGTTAGTTCAAGATTGTACCGCTCCATAGACTATTGTACTACCTGGAGTTTATTTATGAATTTTTGTTTCGATATAAAAGTTTAACATCCGTATATCATCATATATAATCATAGGTTATTTTCTTTAGTCGGAGTAGCATTCTATATCTACTTAATACGATAAAATTTCCCTTAAATATCTACCTATGACTTGTAAATTTATTAGTCCAAATTTATAAACAAAAAATTCTAGCTATAATTTAAGATCTACTTATGTTAAGGAAAGTAAATACGTTTCAATTATATCATTTCAAATCTAAAAATTAAGAACAAGTTAAATAAAAGCCATAATTAACTCCATCCGTTGTAAGCGGACGTAAGTAAAATTATCTTTCTAGCGAACTTCCACTAGTTTCCAACAGAAGTGAACTAACATTACAAAGTAGAATTTATCTGATCTTAATTAAGTTTACAAAGATATCTGATGCTTTTCGGTTTTCTATTACACTCCGAAGAATTCAGAGAATTAAGAAGAATTAATAAATTTCTTTTAACCCAGATCTGTCTGGGTTATTGACACCACGCAACGCGGCACTTTTAAAAGAAAAATTCTTCTTTCTTGAGAGGCTGATTTAAATACACATATAAAAAAATAGATAGATTATTCTGCTGTAATCATATCTATGTTATGTTCCTGTTATTTGTTATATTGTTATAATTGTTTCCCATCTCCATGCAATTATAAATTACAGAATCACTACACTTACGCATTTTGATTTAAATTAACAATTTCGTTATTTACAATTATATGCAGTTCCCGAAATAATTGCTAGTTCAAAATATTAATTTGTTTCTGGAATTTCAAATTTAATTAACGTGTATGCGCTGTTTATGTCATAATTTCACTGTTTATGTTTTATGTGCGGCAAGACAAGTTTATGTTTTGGTTTGTCATTTTGTGTACAAGTATATCTAGTACTAACGTTACCCGCGACTTCGTTCGCGTCGAATTAATCATTTGGAGTGATGATGATAAAGCAAAGCAAGGATTTCCATTAACACACAAACTGGACAAAATTTTCTCACATTTCTGTCAGCATGAGAAAAAACAATATGGCGATATTATTATATAACTTGGTAATATTTGAGGGGTAGTTTCATCTCGTTGGAATTTGACTTTCGACAAATCCGTTTGCCAAAAATAAGTTTTTTACATCAAGCAGTTTAAGCAGAATCGTGGTTAATCAATTACCCAACTTTTTGGAACACTCTGTATGATTTTTTAAAAAATTTCAAAATAAGTAAGAAAACAAAATAGGTTATGCGTGTCCAAGCGTTTTCCCGAAAGACTAACAGTTTTTTAAATAACAAATATTGTAATATTTGAGGGGTGGTTTCACCCTCTTAGAATTCGAGTTCTTATCTAACCTCTACACCCTAAAGTCAATCCGTTTTCCAAAAATCAGCTTTTTACGTCAAGCGCTTTAAGCAGGATCGTGATTAATCAATGACAAGATTTTTCGAAACACCCTGTATACATTTTTAAAAAATCTTAAAATATGTAAAAAACAAAATAAAATATACGTGTTTAAGCGTTTTTTCGGAAACTTGCCCGTTTTTTTAAATAAAAAATATTGTAATATTTGAGGGGTGGTTTCACCCTCTTGGAACTGGAATTTCGAAAAATCGCCTCTTATCGAACCTCTACACCCTAGAATCAACCTGTATGCCAATATTGAGCTTCTTGCGTTGAGTGGTTTGAGTACGATCGTGATTAATCAGTGAGTCAGTCACTTAAGGATTTTATATATTAGTATAGATTATAATTAATTAAATAAATATTATAATTATTATAATAAACATTATATCATTGATAGGAAAATTTAGTAACATAATAATTGCCCTATTGAATAAAAAATATTTAATTATATTGTAATGTGTAGGTTAAAATTTTGGACACAGAGAGAACAATTCGATCACACTAATGACAATAGTTATTATTAAATCCTAATTTATTTTGATGCAAAAACAAACAAGAGATAGTTACATGGTACTAATTAATTGTTCATTACATAAATTTATCTTCTCTAATAATTTCAACGTATCAGATATTCTATTGAAACGCATTCAAAACGGAATAATCGGCTAGTAACGAGCAAAACGAATACTATGCTCTAATAGCACATCATTTATCCTCTGTTCGCCACAGTGCTGTTTAATTTCGAAAACACAATTATAAAAATAACTACTAAGCATCTCTGCAACATCGGTAATTTCAGATAAAAGCCTCATTAAATAAATATAAATAAATTTCAACAATCTCTGTACAAGAACCGCATGAAACAATTGATGAGTATTATACTAAACTATTAAAACTAAGTACAAATTATTGTAATTTTAGCAACAGAGATAAAGAAATTAAAT